CAAGTTCTTAGGTTTACAAAATGGAACCTAAAGGTTTTGAAACCAAAACCGAACCTAAACCAACCTAGCCATCCCTAGTTCTCACTACGCTTCGAATAATAAATGACAATACACGTATTTAATCTTTAATTACTTCTAGTGACCTCCATTTTTTATGATTCTTATTTTAAAAGATCCATCGGTAATATTTGCATCAACAAAAGCTATTTTCCTGAATTAATGTTAAAATTTATCAATTCGACAGATAGAAATAATTGAAATATTTCTCTGGAAATTGTGATGTGATATACTGTATATTAGTTATTGCAAATTTAACAAAAAAGTATAACGTAGAACCAAAATAATGTACTGTACGTACGTACGTACGTACGTATTTGTATTAAGTAATTGTATATTATTAAAATCTGCATCGGTATTATATTTTTAGGTACAATAGTTTCCTGTAGGGTAGCATGTAATAAAATAATTCATCAGTATATTTCTGCACCTATAAATCTGGAACACGGCACATACGTACGTCTACGTACGTACATACAATGCAAGAAATTTAAAATCTTCAATTTCTTTATATAGAAAAAATAATGCATCAACTAGGTTACATTGAAATACACAAATTCCTTAAATTATTAATGCCAAGAAATAATATGTAAATACTTAATAACAACAATTCTATACGTACGTACGTATCACTGAAACAAACTGAGCCGATACTGAATTTAGCTTACCGTTACCCCAATTTGTTTATTCCCTATAAGTGATTGAGGCTTTTGCACCGTATGTACGCACGTATGTCGATATGTTTCTATATATATGCAATGATCGGCTAACGCTAAGCTAGTCGAGCAGATAAATTTAGTTCAACTATTAAAATTCTTTTTTAGTGAAACGTTGCATGCTTTTTAAAAAGTATAAATTACTGATTTAAATCAGCGAATTAGGCGATTTCCGATTATGCAATAAGTAAATGGCTGTGTATTGTGTAACGTTTAATTTTAAAATCTAATTTTAAGGAATTCCATGTTGCACATGTAATTGACTGCCGATAACAATTGTAAAAAGTTGTACATATTAAGCATTTCATAGAGCAAAACTCTTCTAATCTGACAAGAGAATTATGCCAACTCTGTGGTTTAAAAAAAAGAATAAACGAGTAAAAGACAAATCTAACACTGACGATTATGATGATAATGATTTTCTAAATTTAACTTCATTATCCGTTACCACTACTGGTTCTAACTCGAACCTCTTAGAGGAACGTCTCAAACGCTTTGAAGATGAAGCTGGTCAAGTTAATAATACGGCATCATTAACAAAGAGGATCTCATATTTACGAAGAAGCAGAGCAAATGAAGTTTCAAGGGCAATTACTAATATTGAAGATTCAATGAATGTTGACCTTTGCTTCGTTCTGGATTGCACTTGCTCTATGTATGACTATATTATAGCTGCTAAAGAGCATATATTAAAAGTGGCTAAATATTTAAACCGTAATAATTCAAATATCAAACTCTGGGTCGGTTTTTGTGGTTATCGTGATCATTGTGATGGTCGCAATCGTTTACAGATTTTTAATTTCACTAGTTCATACAAAAAATTTGAATCATATATAACCCATAAAGTGGTGGCTATGGGTGGAGGTGATTTCCCTGAAGATGTCCTAGGAGGTCTTAATGCTGCAATAACTAATATGACCTGGAGTAATTCTACTCGTATTCTTATCCATATTGGTGATGCACCACCACATGGTCGACATTTTACTGACGAAACAAAAGTATATGACAAATTTGATAGATATCCGAAAGGTGATCCAAATGGTCTAACCGCTGAAAGTGTGCTAAAAGAAATGCAATCAAAGAATATTTTATACCATTTTGGAAAAATTAATGATTCCACTGACATTATGCTTAACATATTTCGTGAAATAATCGGTGACTTTCCTGTATTTGATCTTGGGTCTACAGATGGTGATCCTGAAGAATTAATCAACAAATTTTGCAAAGCTACTTGTTCTGCCATCTTTACCTCTATTGCATTAACTACATCTTTAAGAAATCCAAAGGACATTTACTCTTTGCAACGAAAAAAACTTGAAATTAATCCTCTCGAACCTGATTGGTCTACTCTTCCAGAGAAAAATGGCGAAATTTTAAGTTATGTTTTGCCCAAAACTCTGGATGAAATTAAGGACGAATGTTATTTTATTAATTCAAACTTCACTGTTCAAAACATTTCTTTTAAACTTGCTCCACAACCATTCTCTGTCGGTGCTGAACGATATGCTTATTTTGCTCTTGATAATAAACTTGAACAATCTGATAGATTAGTAATTAAAAAATATCATGATATTAAATCAGGCACTATAGAACAATACTTGGAATCAGTGGAAATCTCTAGTGTTGCTTATTTCCTTTCAACAAAATTTAATCTAGCTGCACAACGTGTCGGTGTTAAAAAGAAAGTTACATTTGTTGATGTGAAAGTCTTGTGTGATAATTCGGACAATAATACTTACTACTCTGTAGAAAGGTATATCAATAATGCAGAGTTTAAACGATTTAATGTGAATAGTGGTGTAATTACTGAATTTCATTCAATTCTCGAGGCATTTGCTCATTTCACATATAAATTTACAGGTGGATATTTGGTGGTTTACGATTTACAAGGTGTTGATTTAGATGATGAGTTTTTGTTAACAGATCCGGCAATACATTGTATTGATTTATTAAGATTTGGTGTAACGAATTTTGGAAAGAAAGGAATTGAGAAATGTTTTTTGGCAAATCATAAATGCACTGATATTTGTAAAAAGTTGAAATTAAATTAAAATTCGAAAATAGTTCTTTTTACGACAATTCAAGAGCAGGTGTATAAGACTTATCGTGCAGTGCGATAAATAAATTTACTTTAAATGTTAATATCTTAGTTGGTTTATTCAAAAGTAACAATTTATTCAAATTACGAAATTCGTGACCAATAAATTGTAAATCCCATAATTGATACAGATTACAGTTGTAATCTCAACGAAAGAAAAATAAATAGATAAATTATATGTGTTAATTATTAAAATAATTTAATTGCAGTAACAAGAATAATCGCATATCCCATTAAACTACAGAGTAATTCTGATTTAGAATAATAACTAGATATATTTCGCAAGTTACTTCTCATAACTTTGCATCTATGAATTGTCGTAAAAAGAACTATTTTCGAATTTTAATTTAATTTCAACTTTTTACAAATATCAGTGCATTTATGATTTGCCAAAAAACATTTCTCAATTCCTTTCTTTCCAAAATTCGTTACACCAAATCTTAATAAATCAATACAATGTATTGCCGGATCTGTTAACAAAAACTCATCATCTAAATCAACACCTTGTAAATCGTAAACCACCAAATATCCACCTGTAAATTTATATGTGAAATGAGCAAATGCCTCGAGAATTGAATGAAATTCAGTAATTACACCACTATTCACATTAAATCGTTTAAACTCTGCATTATTGATATACCTTTCTACAGAGTAGTAAGTATTATTGTCCGAATTATCACACAAGACTTTCACATCAACAAATGTAACTTTCTTTTTAACACCGACACGTTGTGCAGCTAGATTAAATTTTGTTGAAAGGAAATAAGCAACACTAGAGATTTCCACTGATTCCAAGTATTGTTCTATAGTGCCTGATTTAATATCATGATATTTTTTAATTACTAATCTATCAGATTGTTCAAGTTTATTATCAAGAGCAAAATAAGCATATCGTTCAGCACCGACAGAGAATGGTTGTGGAGCAAGTTTAAAAGAAATGTTTTGAACAGTGAAGTTTGAATTAATAAAATAACATTCGTCCTTAATTTCATCCAGAGTTTTGGGCAAAACATAACTTAAAATTTCGCCATTTTTCTCTGGAAGAGTAGACCAATCAGGTTCGAGAGGATTAATTTCAAGTTTTTTTCGTTGCAAAGAGTAAATGTCCTTTGGATTTCTTAAAGATGTAGTTAATGCAATAGAGGTAAAGATGGCAGAACAAGTAGCTTTGCAAAATTTGTTGATTAATTCTTCAGGATCACCATCTGTAGACCCAAGATCAAATACAGGAAAGTCACCGATTATTTCACGAAATATGTTAAGCATAATGTCAGTGGAATCATTAATTTTTCCAAAATGGTATAAAATATTCTTTGATTGCATTTCTTTTAGCACACTTTCAGCGGTTAGACCATTTGGATCACCTTTCGGATATCTATCAAATTTGTCATATACTTTTGTTTCGTCAGTAAAATGTCGACCATGTGGTGGTGCATCACCAATATGGATAAGAATACGAGTAGAATTACTCCAGGTCATATTAGTTATTGCAGCATTAAGACCTCCTAGGACATCTTCAGGGAAATCACCTCCACCCATAGCCACCACTTTATGGGTTATATATGATTCAAATTTTTTGTATGAACTAGTGAAATTAAAAATCTGTAAACGATTGCGACCATCACAATGATCACGATAACCACAAAAACCGACCCAGAGTTTGATATTTGAATTATTACGGTTTAAATATTTAGCCACTTTTAATATATGCTCTTTAGCAGCTATAATATAGTCATACATAGAGCAAGTGCAATCCAGAACGAAGCAAAGGTCAACATTCATTGAATCTTCAATATTAGTAATTGCCCTTGAAACTTCATTTGCTCTGCTTCTTCGTAAATATGAGATCCTCTTTGTTAATGATGCCGTATTATTAACTTGACCAGCTTCATCTTCAAAGCGTTTGAGACGTTCCTCTAAGAGGTTCGAGTTAGAACCAGTAGTGGTAACGGATAATGAAGTTAAATTTAGAAAATCATTATCATCATAATCGTCAGTGTTAGATTTGTCTTTTACTCGTTTATTCTTTTTTTTAAACCACAGAGTTGGCATAATTCTCTTGTCAGATTAGAAGAGTTTTGCTCTATGAAATGCTTAATATGTACAACTTTTTACAATTGTTATCGGCAGTCAATTACATGTGCAACATGGAATTCCTTAAAATTAGATTTTAAAATTAAACGTTACACAATACACAGCCATTTACTTATTGCATAATCGGAAATCGCCTAATTCGCTGATTTAAATCAGTAATTTATACTTTTTAAAAAGCATGCAACGTTTCACTAAAAAAGAATTTTAATAGTTGAACTAAATTTATCTGCTCGACTAGCTTAGCGTTAGCCGATCATTGCATATATATAGAAACATATCGACATACGTGCGTACATACGGTGCAAAAGCCTCAATCACTTATAGGGAATAAACAAATTGGGGTAACGGTAAGCTAAATTCAGTATCGGCTCAGTTTGTTTCAGTGATACGTACGTACGTATAGAATTGTTGTTATTAAGTATTTACATATTATTTCTTGGCATTAATAATTTAAGGAATTTGTGTATTTCAATGTAACCTAGTTGATGCATTATTTTTTCTATATAAAGAAATTGAAGATTTTAAATTTCTTGCATTGTATGTACGTACGTAGACGTACGTATGTGCCGTGTTCCAGATTTATAGGTGCAGAAATATACTGATGAATTATTTTATTACATGCTACCCTACAGGAAACTATTGTACCTAAAAATATAATACCGATGCAGATTTTAATAATATACAATTACTTAATACAAATACGTACGTACGTACGTACGTACAGTACATTATTTTGGTTCTACGTTATACTTTTTTGTTAAATTTGCAATAACTAATATACAGTATATCACATCACAATTTCCAGAGAAATATTTCAATTATTTCTATCTGTCGAATTGATAAATTTTAACATTAATTCAGGAAAATAGCTTTTGTTGATGCAAATATTACCGATGGATCTTTTAAAATAAGAATCATAAAAAATGGAGGTCACTAGAAGTAATTAAAGATTAAATACGTGTATTGTCATTTATTATTCGAAGCGTAGTGAGAACTAGGGATGGCTAGGTTGGTTTAGGTTCGGTTTTGGTTTCAAAACCTTTAGGTTCCATTTTGTAAACCTAAGAACTTG